CCCCTTCCAGCGCCACCCAGAAGAGAAGAGGCTCTGAACTGCGTGGCAAGGGCGAGCGATCTTCGTTTCTGACCTCGACCTCTTCCTGTCAATTCCCTCCCATTGCATTCTAGCAACATAAGGAAGATGCGACTCTACTTCTTGTTCTGCGTTCGCGCCGTCCGCTGCACGTCGACGGTGGCCTTCAGGTGATCGAAGGCCTCTTGCAGCTTGCCTCAGTGTGCACACTCGACTTGCGTAGCATTCAGCTTCCTCTGGGCTGCCACTGAATCTCAGAGGATCGACCTTCAATCATGCTCGTTTTGCATCCTGGCTGCTGATTTGGGCAGTGGTCTGATCCAGCTCGTTCCTGAGAGCTTAGGGGCGTGGCTGGAATAGTGCAGACTCGCTCTGACGAAATCGTGATCTGCGAAACCACGAAAGCCAAGGCTCTTCAGCAGCGACTGCTGCGCAAGGAGGGCTGCATGGCCTCAAAGGCCAACGTGCTGTGCTTTTACCTGTTTTATGAATCCAGCTGCTGTCCGTGGCTGCGTGTGTCCATCATTGCCCGCTTACGAGTACCGCAAGCCCTGTGACTGAGTCGTGTGCGCTGCTTTCCGGCCTGCAGATGAGGTTTTGCGCTTGGCCAGTGGCAATTTCTGTCCCAGGTGACTGAGCAGACAGTGAGTTTGGGCTCTTCACGGATGCAGATTCGTCTGTGGCCGGCCGAGGACCCGGCCTGGAAGCTTTCGTGGAAAAGCTCGTTCAGCTTTGATTCGCTTTGCCTCGGGTGATACCGCGGCTCTCAACAAGGTGCGAACCGCTGGACGTTTGCCGACTTGGCAACTTCCTGTCCTCTTAGCCCGATCAATTGAAACAGATATGCACTTTCTGGATGAAAAATCGAAACGTAAGACTCTTGACTCTGTAGCTGTGCATCTGAGAAGCATCTCAGCTTTGTGCAACTGGTGCAGCTCGTTCGTGAGGTCACCTTAGTAACCGTGCTGCACAACTCACGGAGGAGTTTCGAGCACCCGCTGTTTCAAGATTGCATGGTTCAGTGGTTCTTCACTTGGCAATACCCACCCAATCCTTATTGTTCCGAATGAACCACACAACTGAGCCGGGCAAAACACCAATGATCCTCTCCTCCTCTTCAGTGCTTGCCTTCTTCTCCTGTGCCCGCGTCGGAACCACTGTATGCGCTGCAGTGTCAAAGCCGGAACCAACGCGCTGAGATCGCGCTGCAGAGCGGTGAGAGGTGCCCCTTTCTGAGATTGATTCCAACTAAGTCTGCCAGTTGAGATTGGGGCTTCTGTATGCCTTACTTCCCAGCCCAAATAGCACATCAGCAGCATGCAAAACACAGCTCGCCTTCGACAGCGAAGTGGTCGTGTTCAGGGACCTGATCGTCGGAAGCAAACAAGTGCTTTTCCCAAGCGAGAATCTATCTTGTGCATGCAGCTGACAGTGTCTCATCGGAAATGCAAGGGAGAGGTTTTGCTTTTCAATTCTGTGGCTGCCTTCTGTTATAGATGGTCGAACGAGTCCCAGTCACTAGTTGCCACCAAACTCAAACTGATCCAGGCCGGAATGCGCATCGCCACTGTCGCCGAGGAGAGGCAGCTAAAATCCTCTTCGTGACCTAGTTTGAGAGGTGCTGGGCCCAACCAGCTGTTTTCAATTCTTGTCGATGTGACAACCCGCATAGTCTGCATCACTATTTGTGGCCACGTGGGCTTATTTGCTTGCAAGCCGCGGCTCGAGCGCAGGGAGCCCCTGGCACCCTATCACAAAGGCAAGCACTTGGAGTGGTGACGTTTCGTGATATCTTTGGGGAGAGCGAAGCAGGCAAACATGCTACTGCTGTGCCGCTGCGCGTGCCTTCGCTTTCCTCCTTACGTGCCTGCGCGACCTGGGATTTCCAAGGAATGATGCGTACAGTCGTACCAGCTGAGGATGCTATCCGAGGAGGCCTTGCTGCCGCTGTCGCACGCTTTCATGCGCTTTCCGCACCCAGAGAAACCCGGGCCCAGTAAGAGGCCTCTCCTGCGACACTGCCACCAAGCCGCAGCTCCAGGAAAGAAACTGGGGCAAGGCTGTCAGACAAACAGCTGGTGCAGGACGAGCTCAAGTCATCCAAAAGTCATGCAAAGCCACATACTTCGCTGGGTCAGCCCAGCGCGGGCACAGCAATTTTGAACCAGGCAGGCAGCATCCGGCCTGCATCCGGCTCGAACGTCGTTTCCTGGTCTTTTGCTGGAGCCGTCGGCTCCTGGCGAAGAAAAAGTCAATCAAGACCAGCAAAGCAAAGCGCTCGGACTCAGCCTCGATTCGGGAGCCACGTGAGGGCACCTCATGTCCAAAGCCAAGGCTTTTCGCACTCGGAGGAGTCCACTCGGAGGAGTCTACAGTGCACTGCCCTGACAGTGCATGGGCCTTGTCCAGGTGAAGGAACGAAACATCCTGTGCGTTTTCTGGGCAATCGTTGACGCGGTGATGTTGTTGACAGCTTGTATGATCAGGCCCATAGGCCTCAAGGCCCTAGAAATTATCTTCATGCGCCGGTTGCTGCTGACACATACGCACAGCACACATCGCCTTTGCGGGATCGTTGGCGTCCAGAGACCTGTGCAAAAACTTCTCGCCCTTGGCGAGCTGCTGCTCCTCCGGATTCAGCTGAGAGGCTTCGCTAGCTCCGCATGCAAAAAACAGAAGCGATAAAACTCGCAGAGTCCAGTCCAGAGCTTTCAGTTCAGTCCGCCGGAAGGAGATCAGCTGGTTCTCCTGCTTCACCTGCTCGGGCACTGATGCCAAGCTGGGCCTCTCTCCATTCCGCTCATGTCCGAGCGCAGGCAAACTCATTTGCATGCTACGTTCTGGTTCAGGCTCACAGAGGAAAGCATCAATGCAAAGCCCGCGCAGCAACATCAGCTTGCTGCAAATTTGCTTCTGGTATGTAGGCATCAATGCTTCTCCCTGAGCCTTCTTTTTCAGTTCTTCTCTGTTTTGCCGTGCCAGGACGATCTCTGTGGCAAGGTGGGCGTTGTCTTTGGCAACTGCCTGCGGTGGCTTTTGATTCAAGAGATGGGCTGTCCCCCAAAAGAATGCGCTCTCGGTAAGCAACTTGAGATGCCCCTTGTGGGATATGATTCTGGCTCTCAGCTAGCCGGCTAGGCGCCATGAAGGAAGACTTCTTGCAGTAACAGTATTTCCAGTTGCATCAAAGCCTGGTTGACATTCTCTTGGGCTCGGAGACGTGCATCAAAAGCAGCCTTGGGTCGGAGATGAGCATGTGGGCTCAACTTGGAGCGGATGACGGGCTTCAAAGCAGGTGCTACATGTTTTTCAAGCTTCTTGTGCAGCTTTCGTCTGTGCTTCAATACTTGTAGCACCAAACTGCGAGACATGTGGGTTCTTCAATCCATGCGTCCTTGGTCTTGGCGATGCGATCCAGGCTGGCATGCTCCACCTCTTTTGCACTGGCAGCAATAAACACAAGATCGACGGGTCAGCCTGGGCATCCACAAACTGGACTTATGCTATGCCTGATGGGATCATACTGGGGCCGCCCTTGTGTGTCTCAGTCTACTTCGAACTTGTACGTATTCATACCTCTGAGCTGGACCTCCTGAGCGTGATTACCGGTTGACGTGCTTGCATGATCTTCCAATCTGCTTGCCTGCGACAGATGTGCGGCGAAGCTGCTTGCCTGATCACAGGGCCAAGAAGATGTTCTACTACGAGTGGGCCAGGCAATTCCTGCGGCTACCCATCCCTAATTAGAGCGTAATTACCGGCTGCAGTGCCTGCGAGTTCAGGGTATGCTTCACATCCTGGAAATCAGTCATCAACTTGTCCTTGGTGAAGGCGGCTGGGCTCTTACAAGTACACTGCGCATCGCAATTCCTGGGCCCAGTGCACCACGAGAATCGATGAAGTGATCCCGCACTGCTCACGGCGTCTTTTCGTTGTGGAAGTAGGCTGAGGTGCAAGCCACATCCGGCAGCTGTGGCATCCCATCGGGTCCAGGATTGAACACCTCCGTGCAAGGCAGTGCTGATGAGTTCCATCAAACAGCTGTTTGAACTCGACAGCTTTGTCATCCAGTTTTTGCTTAGTCAAAGGGTGCATAAGTGTTTTGTAACAACTGCTTCTCGGTCTCTGCAAAGCACACCCGCCTCCGGCACCCGGGGCAGCTTTCTCGCATGGGGAAGTGCATCTTCCAGCGAAACCGCCTGCCAAGGGTACTGTAATTGTTATTTCTACATGACAACTTCCCACGATCAGCTCTGGAAAGGGAACCAGTGACGTTACAGACATTCAACCGAACAATTCAACTCTTCAGCAGCTTCAGCAAGCACAAGATGAATAAGTCCAGCAGGGACGGCATATCGACATGGGCAAATCCTTGTCGGAAGAATATTGAATGCCTCTGCCCCAAGTGCAAGGAGTGCGACGAGCGCCGTCGCCTTCATTGCCTTCCAAAGAACTACAGGCGGCCTGTTTTTGGATTCTGGGTGAAAACAGTACTGCGATTGACGATAGAAATGCTGCATTACCCATAATAAGGAATATACCATAATTCCCATAGCTTAGGGTTAACGGCAAAAAGCCCTGGCCCTCTGGAAAAAAATACCAGTCCCTGGTTCTTCAGTGGATTCGAATCTGGAAAATTATCCTTTCGCGCCTTGCAGAAAGGCACCGCAGGCAGCTCAGGGAGCCATCAGCGGCTGCGGGTGAAGGTCAACACACGCGGTATCTTCTTACAAAGCTCAGGCCCTTCAACAACGGTTCGCTGAGACATAGCCCTGGGAAGTCATCGTAGGCAGGCAGAGCACGAAGGAAGATTCCATTAGTAGCCGGACGAAGCCAGTGCTAAGCATGATATGAGCGAATTTTCGCGGTCACGATATACCATAGCTCGGCTCAGCATTCAAAGCGGTAGTGATACTGCTATGGCTGTTATTGGCAGTGGCAGAACCGTCATGTGGAGCAGGGCCCTGGTTCAAGCACCGGGCCCAGATGTCGGCTCTGTGGGCCGTAGCACCGAGTCAAACCATTTGATCACGAAGTCCTTGAAGCTGGAAAGCATCCGGCTACACTGCTACGAGCGTGATGTGTGCATCGCCCTTGAGACAGTGGCGATCGACTGCGACAAAGTGGTGTTGCTTCTGCGACGAACACGTCAATTGAGGTGACGGCCACTTCTGCCGTGTACTCCTGGAGGCGGCATGTTTAACAGGGGTCATGCAAAATTCGTCTGAGAAGATGCTTACTGTGTCTACACTCCTGTCTTTGGATCTAAATACACGACGTTGTCCCGTAACATGCTTGCCACTTCTCGTACGTAACTGCAGACCACTGGGGAGTCTGCGAAAGCATCTTCTTCGGATGCTCCCTTTCCGACCAAGATAGTTCCAACAACCACTGCACACGAACTAAACTTGCAAAACATGATCAAAGGGAAATCCGCTCCTGCACAAAGTTGAGAGCCTCAGTTGGCAGGTGGTCCTGGCAGGTCACGGCTGTGGTAGAATGCGCGCGGCACCTACCACCCTGCGACTCAGACCGAAAAATGGCGTACCAATCGTTGCGTGCTTCATGCGTGTCGGCAGCTTTTTGCATCCGGAGACGTCTCAAGGCCAACCTAAAGGCAGCATCGTTTGCTTGTGCAGCTGACCTTTGTAGACACACATGTATTTGCCATCAATTCAACAGTTTTCACACTCGTGCTCGACGGATAGGTGAGTGTTGCTCCCCCCAGTTGCCGGCACGGTTGGATGGTGAAACGTTGCTTTGAACAGCAGCAGCATTACCCTTCTCCCGGCGACATCAGCAGGTCACCGAATGAAAGAGCCGACAGAATTATGGCTTTCACGGCTACACCAATTTAACCGCCACCATGGCCAGCCATCAGATTGGCCGCCAGGCCCTACGTAAGCTGCTGCAGCTTCGTGCATCGCCACACCGTGATGTCGCAGAAGTCCTCGCTGAAGTTGACCATGGAATGCGTATCCATGTGCTCGTCCAGTGGGAGCTCGTTGGATAGGAGGTCTGAACTCATTGCTGATTCCTGGCATGGCGCCCGTCGTAGCAGCCTGGCCGGCCGTGCTTTGGCGACTATTTCGCCCGGATCGCCGGGGCCCATCCCCAGCGCGAAATATAGTAAGCCCTCGTCACTCGACCCCGGCCTCCATGTGAAAAGGCCGAGAAGCAGAGGAGCATGACTTCGTTGGCCGTCTCGATCGTAACTTACCCACGGTCATGCCGCAATGACGACAGCGAGCTCGAGAGCACAGGGCTGACAAGGGACCCTCTAAGTGGAGCCAGGTAGAGTCGGTAAAGCTTGAATATTGAGCCGTAGCCACACTTATTCCTAGTCTTCGTTGTCATGCCGTTGCAGGTGTAGTGAGTCCTGACTGTTTGAATCCTGAGGCGAAGGCCCACAAAAGTCTGGTGATCTTGGCCACATCAAGACCTGCAGGAGAAGGTTCGCGAACAGCATTAGGGGCGATTTGATGTTCCGAAGAAAAATTCCGGGACCGCTGGTCAGGAATGCATAGAAACATCATAGAAAGATTCCAGAGCCCCAACAATCTGTGCCAGGCCTTTGCCAAGAACCGCCCCCTCCACGACACCGCGAATGTCGTCTTCGAGCTTCGTGATTGTCCCATCCTGACCATGCTCCGCTACGAACTGAACCTGTGAAACTGTCAGCGGTGTCACGTGGCCCCCGTCGGTATCTGACTTGCTTCCAAGTTGCGGCAACATGCTTTCCTCGGCGCATGGTTCAGTGCGTTCCCCAGATTTCCGGTTTGCGAAATCGTCCACTCGTGACACTTCAGATCCACGATGACTCCTACTTGAGGTTGCAGGGCCTACTGTAGTTGACAGAGCTGCAGTGAATTGACATGAGGTTGTATATTTCTGCCTGGCTGCCTGGTTGAACTCCAGCGCTTTTGAGCTCTTTAGGAAATACGGGTGAGTGCTGTCTAGGCCAGTGCCCCTATTTTTCTGGGACGTGTGAACCGCTGACCACTGAAGCTTGTCCCCTCTGAGTGTCCACACCATCCGTTCCAATTTCCTGCAGAATCCTTGCGATGACCCTGGCCATGCCTCGAGTTTGAGTCTCGAGGAAAACGCATGCAGCACGGGCGGCTGAATGGATGAAACTCTTCCGATGACCGAAACAAGCACGCAGCACAATTTTGTGCCCTGCCCCGCACTGCTCAGTGCAGGACGGCGCGTCGGGATAACGTCCTGCCACTTCACAATGTCGGATCGACATCGGATGGCGACTTTCCGGAGGGGGCCTTAGGCTCTTCGATGCCCTCGGTGCGCAGCACATTGCGCACGACCTTACTGGAACGAGGCCGGAAATCCGTGACAGCTTCATGAGACAGCTTCGATGTTGCCAGCCGATCGGCACCATCGGAAACCCCTGCACGTGTTCCACGAGCAGCGACTAGATCCTAGGTGAAGGGCATAACCTCATCGCAACTCGACGCGCAAATGATTTCATGTCTCCTTTGAAGAGATTTCTGGTGCAGGCAGCAGAACAGCATGTTTGCCGACCATGTCAATGGTGCAGCACGGAATCTTGCACAGCCGGACATTGACTTCCCGTTTTGACGACTCTATGCCTCTATGCTCTGAGGCGCCATCCCGGGACAAGTTCAAAAGTCGCTTCACAGCCGGCTGCAGGTTCATCGTGTCCTGCACGGGTCATCCCGGCGATCCCGGACGTGGCAAGTGGAATGCTTGGATCTAGCATGACATGCACGTTCCCATATTCGCATCGGCGCGGTGTGTATGATATCCGCTGCAGCTACGATTCAAAGCTGGATGCATAAAATCTATAATCAAAGGCCGCCAGCTTCTGCGCCAGTGAAGTCAATAGGAATGCGCTTGGCAAATGCTTAGCGCCCAGCCGCAAGTTCGAGGAGCGGTACGAACCAGGCCTCTTCATGCCACATCACACCAGCGTATGGTCCGCCGCTAAGTAGATGCAACTGGAGCGCGAAGCACTGCTTGACTTCGAGCCTCGTCGTCCAGTAGGCGGTTCCCACACTCGGCCACATCAGGCCTAGACGCGCAAAACATCTCTCTTGTCTCTTGTGGGGGCACAGCCTTGCATCGAGCCCAGACATTCATTGCTGACCAACGGCCATCATTTTGCTTGACTGCATTCATCGATGTACGCCTTGCTTACTTTGCAGACTGTTCGCAGATGTGCAACGCAACACTGGCTCACCTGGTGCCATGCAGGCCGAACGACGGTCCCGCGATGTCCCGCGACTCGAGCTGTCGCGCGATGCGCATTTTCGACTGGAATCGCGAGTCCCGAGCTTTCTGTGTCCGATGGGGACGCAGACTTCACTGTGAAAGCCAACATACTTTGGCGCTCTCGCGAACTTGGTTCGGAAATCGTGCTCCTGCATGCTCCCGCCGGAATGCCGCGTTCACCCTGGCCGCACTCGAGTTCCCGTGACATGTCGGTGATCTCCGGAAAGCCAATATGTTCAAATCATGCTCCCGCCATGTTGCAGTGCGCATTTGGACTCATGGGGTGGCGATGGCAGCCGCAAGAAGGAAGCTTTCTTGCATATGTGGGGCTTGGACTGCCTATGCTGTTTCACAGTACTGTACAGGCGTAATCTGTCTCACACCGAATGACATCTGGTCTCTCAGGGGTCGGCTCATCGTCTAGTGTGATGCCCATCTGACCTGCAGCCGGGCGGCGATGTGACATGATGCAACGTGCATGCTTCGTACTGTACTCTGCGTATTGGCTATCGGCCGCACATAACGATGGCCGCATCACAACCGGCAAACCCACCGAGGCCCGCGTCATGGTTGACTGTGGTTGTGCAGACGCCATCAAGATACGCCCATGTCGGCAAGCTCGCCAAAAAACAACGATATCAGCCGCCTCGCCTATGCATACGATGCTATAGACATCTCACCCTCAAGCTGCCACATCACAAGTCGGCATCAAGAAGACCGATGAAAGATGATGAAAGTATCAGTTTTGCTTCGTTCCCGATTGCACTAGTGGCCGTACCGATCTCTTGTTTGACATTGTCTGCGACTTTGCTGAGGCTGTGGCCCATGTCACCAATGCGGACGGTAAGCCCAGATGCCTGGAATGAGGACACACGTGATCGAGCTTGATCGCTTCCCCCCGTTCCTCGAGGAGCGTCAAAGCGAGGACAGGTTGGGCCAGGGCAAGATGCGGCCCACATCGGGACTTCCGAGTCCCGAGGCCCGTGCAGACGGCGGCTGCGGAAAAGTGACGGATCTCCTGTTGCCCGGACAAGGGGCCCACGCTTTTTGCACGCGACATGGAGACATGTCAGATGAAAGAGCAAAAAATCGAAGGGGTCACGAACGCACTGCAGCCAGGCCACTGTTTTGCCGTGTGTTTGAGGTGCGGCCGGCCCAACCTGCTTAATTGCATTTACACGATCATGAAATATGCGGAAACCTGCGGCTCCCAGAAACCTCACGAGGGCAGTTCTGCGACTGCAACGCCCACGGTTCTGTTACGCCGGAACTCGGTAGATCCCGGAAAAGCTTCACTGGGCAATGCTTGGCGGCTTGCCCATCCCAGGAAATTTGGAGGTGGGTTTGGCCTCTGCCCAGCTGACATCGTCTTTGACGGAAGCTGTCGGCACTCGGCTTATGCACACATGGATCGATTGATTGGGCACGAGGAAGCAAGCCCGAGTTTCATGCCAATTCCTTCAGCATTGATCTCTGCCTGACAGGACTGACTCGTCGATCGCAGGAGCATCTCATCACACCACCCGTACTTGCTCGAGGCTCAAGATCTTCTGACACATTGCTGCGCTAAGTGCAGAAAGAAATTGGCAATAGCTTCACGTGGCCTCCACAACCTTTAGCTTGACCTCGGCCGTGGACGGAATCGCCAAAACAATATCTCCAACCTGCATCAGTAGTTAGAGCCAAGAGATGCAGCTGTTCCCAGCAGACAAAGTTCAATTGATCTGGCTTCGTTTGCTGGATTTTCCGGTGCTACAGGAGCAGTCGAAAAGCTTCTGGGGTGGACCGAAATTCTCTGTTCAAGCAAGATTCGGGCCTGTGCCCGGAACTCTCCCAGCTTCATGTTTGCCTCGGACCTTGCGAGGGATGCACGCAGCCTGGGCGACAGGAGATGTGTACAGCGCAAGAGCTTCACAGCAGTCCGTAAAGGGGCATCGGATCTGGTGAGTGGGATGAAGTCCTGGAAGCTCCCAAGAGCTACACGTCGTCCCAACTTCAAACCTTCCTTGAAAGTCGCGGCTCTTGCATTCTTTGCAAAAGCACGCTGCAGCAACCCGAGAGAAACATAATTGTAGGCACCCCATTCCACGTGACAAAATTAAAGTGAACGGCGGCATGACGAACAACCTGAGACAGGGGCATCGGCGTTTGTGATGGACCTGCTTTTTCCAACAGGAACACATATCGACTATCGACCCGACAGTCAACCCATTCCTCCCTAATCCTTATTCCACCTGATCTCTGCCATCGCACTCACCTGAAGGACTCCCGCTAACACCGTGTATCCCTCCATCAGACTGGCCGGCCAATCATCGTGATTCATTCTGCCTTCCAGGGTGTGGAGGTCGTCAGCCTTAGGTTTTGCAAAACACCCGAATTCTGTAGGCTTCTGGTGCCGAAACACAAGGGTCCTCCAGCGGTTACGAATCAAATCAACTTCAAACGTTCAATCACTGTATGCCACTGTATGCTTCCTTACGAAGTTGAAACATGTGATGTGGCCTTGCCTGCCCGGCTATCGCACGCCAAGGTTAAGCACCTCTCAGCCCACGGCAATGTCAGCAACCTTAGTCGGAAGAGGGTGCTCACCAGCTGTAAACTTTCGAAGCAGCCACGCAGCAAGTCGGCATGCTGGAATACGACAACATGCAACAACGTAACAATGGACCCTGTCGTCGAAATACAACATGACATCAGCCACTTCTCCCGAGGTACGGACCGTAAGCTTTTCCGCCTGGAAAGCTATTCATATCCGAGGGAATCATCAGTTCCATGCTGCCAGCCCGACAATGCAGAGGAAACAAACGCCAGGTGAACGCTGCCCGAAGTTCACAATACCATGATCTCCCAGTATAGGCACTTCGGAACTTTGAAGCAGTTCGTCATTGTGGCCTCTCGCCGCCCTCGCGACACTGGGCTCGATGCACCGTCTTGAGCCTGGAGACCAGCTGGAGACCACTGCGGACAAGCTCTTGCCGAATATCTTTCAAGGAACGTAAGCAGAACCAGTAGCTGCTGTTGATCGTCGCACTTGCGTTCAGAAAGGTCCATGTGCACGAGCTGAAGCTCTGTTCCACGTCTTCATGTTACTCCAGGCAACTCGTATGACGAACCCAATCGAAAACGGCTAGCCGCTAGCCCCGTCAATCTGACAACTCCTTGCCCTGCCGCATGTTGTTCCCACCTTCTCAGCTGCCACCAGTTGGATATGTGGAGTACGATGCACTGATGTCGAGTCGGGCTTGGTATGTTACCATGATGTTCGCACGCAACCACATGCCAATGCCAAGGTCCCTGCCCCCGGTCTTAAGAGGCGCATCATGCCACGAGTAGTGACACTCGCAGAGCCTGCAAAGCGCATTGTTCAAGGAATTGCTTGCGGTTCGAAGCATTGAGCAACTCTGCATTCGGTGTCCAGCCAAAAAGGCAGGAACTGAAGAAACGCTATCCTGGCCTCCCACTTCCAAGAAAACAGCATCCTGCAGCTCAGGCATATGCAATGCCGACGAGAAAGTTCTGATCTGTGTGAGGTGTTTGGAGTATTTATTAGATTCAGGAATGCACAGGTACATCCAACTTGGAATCTGCGATGGAAATTGTCACAGAAATACTAGAAAAAAACATGCATGTGCAGGCCTTCGACGCGGAGTGACTTTTGGTTTAGAGTCCTTGTAATGTCTCGTCAGAAACTGAACTTCGATTTCCCAGCAATTGAAGGACACTCATTGAACCGCAGGCACGAAGGCCTCGAGCATGGAGCAGGCACACAACTTAAAGCAGGGCAACTTCTACAAAGCTCCATGTTGGGTCCTGAGCTCTATTCTGAGGTCTTGGCTCCGGCTCGAACCGATGTGTAAGGCGCATCCTGCAACTTCACCCAGAGATCGGACCGGAAATTCAGTTAACTATGCCAGATTGCAAGCACCCGCACATCCAACATGGATTCTAATAATGGCCTGTGCTCGCTTACATGGCTGATTGGACAGCCAGACCTTGAACCCACGGCCACGCCTCGTCGGCGCCAATGGTTTCAGACTGGTGCCTGTTCCGAGGCTGAGCTGCATCAGCGCCTCGAGCTACAGAGGGCACTTGCAGCTCACAGGATGTCACAGGTCCAGCTGCCGGGCCGACAACTGTCGAATGCTTGGCAGTGGCTGTAAGACGTTTGGGTCTCCGGATCAATGCTGAGAGTAAGACTTCCTGTCCGAGAAGCATTCAGACCTCAACGGCGGATGGGGGAAATCAGCTCGTCTGAAGGCAAATCTCTGAGCTGCCAGCGGGCAGCGGCAGTCTCTGCCTCGATCAGCGCCTGCCAGAGGTGTCCCAGACTGGGAGAAGCGTGAAGACTTGGTGACTTGGGCCTGAGAATGGCGCCGTCACCATGGTGATCAGACTATGCTACGCCTGACCGCTTTTTGCTACATACAGAGCTCGCCAAAGCCCGACTCTTCCAGGTTTACAAAAGCCCAGGTCTAGGTCACACATTTCTCGATTTGCGTTAGATGTAGGCTTTTGCCGGTTGAAGACAACTTGACAATTGATTGCCCGGCACCCCTTCCGCCTGGACAAAAGAAGCCGCGCGGGTCTTTACCGCCAAATTCCCGTTAGCACCTGTCGGGCCGACTCTGCAACAGAGTGGTGAAGAGACGCGGATGCCTTCTCTGTACGATTTATTGAATTTATTGCTTACAAAGGAAGGCTTCAGCATTGTCCTTGTCTTAAGGCCAGTGCTGATTGCTCGGACAGCCGATGGTTGAAGTGCAAAGTGAATGTCTTCTGCTCTTGTGTCTTCATAAGTGAAGCCCAACCTTCCCCTGAGTGCGGTGCAACTTAGCAACACTAATGACTTTTACTGAACCTCTGGCTTCTCGTGCTTGAGAGCCCAGCTCACTTCCGCCTCCATCTGGAGGCAGTCCTGGCCGTATAGCGGCAACCCGGGGGCTGAAGACTCATGCTCTGAGTGCCGGCTCAAGCCTGTCTTCCTACACCTCTGTGTCCGAATCTGTGCCATGCACACTAATTTGAAAAGTTTGGGCCGGTTTGGGGTTTTTGGGACTGCATGCGTCAAAAGCTCCGGGACCGGAAGAGTGCAGCAAACTGAATAAGGACAGAGAGTAACACCGTCTTATTGAAATTCTACAAGCAACTACACAGCGGAATGAAAATAGCGGTTTGCCCAAGTGTGTTTTCTGCTTTGACAAGCATTCATTTGTGTGTGGGAGTTTGGACGGATATGACATCTTTTGCCTGCCCTACACATGTGCCGAGGTCCATGGGTAAGTGTCTCACAGCCACTCACAAATCATTTTGCTGGCAGTCGGATTCTCATTCGTCCATGGCTTTTAAAAGCCTCTCCAACGTGAAACAGGGATGAGGTCTGCGCATGCTTCCGGCTATAGAAAGAGGCGGTGCTTGCAGTGCTTTCTAGCTTGCTTCTCAAGCGCCAACGTTCTGAAACATACAGGTGCCCAGGGTAGCAGAGCCTCGGGATTGCTGAATGCTGCGCATCTGACATCTTTGTGCATAAATGTGAAGCCGGTAGCTCGATGCAACCTAGCTCGCAGGTATTGCAACAAGCTTCCTCGTCTCGGCAGACATCCTGTCTGCCAAACATGCAAACCACATATGAAGCATTATCGAAGCGTGCCTTCAAATATATCTACAGTAGAACAGCGCGTCTTCGCGCAAGACTCCTGCGCACACCCTTCTGTCACAGGTGGACGAGTGGTGGTTAGCAGGCTCTATGTGCCCTTGTAGGCATCGATATCAAGGAAACCAGCGAACATCGAAACTCTTCTCGACCCTTGCTAAGCTGCGAAGCAGGCTCAATGGCTGGTGCAAGGGTCTCGCGGTAGCACGAAGGACCTGTACTGAGTCGAAGCTTTCTGCGGGGTCCTGCCCAAATCCTCCAATTCGGACAGGTCGCTAGAATCGCCGCAACCACCGTCACTGTCAGGGGCAACCTCCTGCCAGGAAATCCTGCAAGGCTTGGCTAGCTTGTCTCTGCCACCAGGCCGACTTTCGTGTAGACTTTGCGAACACCACTCGGGCGCAGCAGTCGTCCAGGCCGAAGCAGTCCGTCTTGGTGCCACGGGTGCTCGCTCGTGAACTGCTGATTGAAACGGGCAGTTGAATCTGACCCGAGAAGTGCTATTAAGCCCTTTCGTCATGCTGAAATTGTCGAAACACAAAGCCCGAATCTCGCCGTCGGTGCTGTCCCTGTCACTTGGCGAGTCCTGTGCTATGACGGAAGGCCTTTCTACTTCTGGCTGCGACGCTGTTTTGGAATGTACGTCTTCCATGGACGAATCTGCGCAGAGGCGTGCAAGTAGCACCGCCGAGTCGGCTGCTTCTTCTCTCGCACATGCTGCCGATCCAGCATGCTCCGGGCTGTCGGAAGCAGCGATGCTAGGGCCGCTAATGCCGTCGGCCATGGCCACAGGGTTTCCCACCGCGGCTAAAGCCAACGCCGCCAGGCTCTGAGCATCCTTTTGGAGTCCAAGCGGCGTGACCCACTTCTGAAGCGGCACAGACATGGGCGTAAAGCTCCCTGTGTTTGCGCCGCTGCGCTGAGCGAAGCTCGCCGTTGGTGCGCCGAGGCTACGGCGCTCTGACCGCCCCGAGCCAGGGCTCGAACTGCGAGGGCGACGAGGGCGAGTGCTCACTGCCCGAGCTTTACTGACTTCAGCATCTGTCTGAGTGGCTGTGCTGACTGTAAGCACTGCAGGTGTAATCATCGTCCTGTCCTGATTGATTCCACTCGCAAGCTTGCTGGATGTGCGGCGCGAACGACGAGGAACCACAGGCTGGAAGGTGTGCTCCTCTGTCAGCCGGCCTTGGGCAGCCTGTTCTCGGCGTTCTTCGGCTTTCCGCATGAGCTCCTGACGATTTGCCGCCCAACTCTGAGCAGAGCTGGAAGCGCGAGCAACCCGTGTTTGGGCCATGTCGAGGCTTCCTTGAAATTAGTCAACCCGGGCTTATGTGCTGACCCGCTCTAATGAATGGTTGCCTGTCTGATGCAGACCACAAAGGGCCTCACGGACATCGTTGGGGTTTGTGCTAGTGCTGCTGGTGAGGTTGCACGAAGTACTTGAATAGGTCTGATTGTTGCAGGGATCAAAGTGTAAAGGTCTGCTACTGAACAAGAGGTGGCTGTCGGATTCACGCAATCCAGGACATGCCATGAATCAGGTGTTCACAGTCACTCCATATACACGCTCCGCTTCTCTGCGCATCTCAGGTCCATGCTTCTACGAACCACGATCACTAGCGAAAGCGACATCATGAAGTTCTGCATTATGACTTTGCGAGACCTCGGAATCAGACCAAAGGCGACCGTCAGCTTCGCCTCTCAGGGTGAAGTAACAGTGCTTGCTGCAGTCGGCCATGTGTGCCCGGCTTCAACTGGATCTCAGAAACTTTGAAGCGATCAGAAGATGTGGAGCCTTCAACTCCGCGGAAAGAAACCTTGGCCACAGGGCTTCGGTTCACTGCGAGCGCTGTGGTCTAAGAGATTGTGAGCAACAGGAGACGACAAGCCTACTATCGCCCAAAAACATGTTGCCTTCGTGCAGGACGAGGCACAGTGGAAAAACCATCATCCACGAACGACGTTTCCTCCTGGTGAGCTCTTCCCTCTAGCACGATTGGTCTGAGGCTTCGTGCATGCGGTATCGTACGTGCAGTCTGCAGCGCATCGATCCGACATGTGCTGACTGCTGACTGCTTGACATCCCCAAGTGGCACGTGCCACCCAAGAGATACTTGCACTGTGTGGCAGGTACAGATTACCTGGTAGCACGAGTCTGGAAGTATCTGCCTCCAACGACAAAGCAGCTTTGAAGCGGAAGTCTGCCGTAGGAAGCTGCAGCAGATCCTGGCCAAGATCAAGCCAACCGGGGTGAGGATTCTTTGGGGTTTATGCTCGTTTCAGCAGTTACTGCTCGCGCTTGGCCTCCTCTACCTGGCACGGCGTCGTGATCATGATCGGCATCATCACTACCGCTGACCCTAGACGTTGCACTTACACCTTCGAGCAGTTTCTCAAGATTGGGCTTGACCAAATCAATCCGGAAGAAATGTGCCAGGGCCACCCGCTTTCTTTGCATGGGGAGGTCTTGACGCCTGCTTCACTCAGACTGTGTGAATAGAGCGAACTCATGGAGGTCGCTCCAAGTCGAGTCGCTCGCTTAAATTATTAAATTCCAGCCATGCCTCACGTCTCAGCTTGAACGGCAGTCCGTGTCTCTGCGCTCGACTTAACCAGGTTTCCCCCCCAGAGTCAAGCCATTGCGGTCAGGGCACAATGCAGCGTGACCACCCAGAACCAAGCTCTGCAGCTGCGCGCACACGTTTGCGCTGCCAAGCCTTGGAGCTGCTTGGAGCCGTGATTCTCGGAAGCTTCAAGGAAGACGTGCTGGTAGCTCTATGTAGCTCTGCTGCAGGCGGAATCCAAAGACACGTCCCATTCTCGGCCCTTTGCATAAGTGGATGTTCGTCGCGAAAAGTCAATCGCAACCTCGGGTGCTGCTCGGTTTGCCTCTTTTCCGCTGCAGATGTATGACTGCGAACGGGCATCATTTACTGAAGCTAATACTGCTCACTGATTTCACTACGGCCCAAGGGCCTCCAGCCCATTCTTCCGGGCACCGGGCGGTTCTGGGAGTTCGGAGCCATCAGACAAGCCTGATGGCCGGCAGGGCGATTTTGCAGTGTCAGACATCTGCTCGAATCCAATCTCTCACGAATTAAGCATGCAGGTACAGTAGGCGAGGCTTCATGTGTCTGACGAGCTTCGAAACATGCATACATATGATCCCGGTTCAGCCGCCACCTCCCCCCCCAATCAATTGCGTTTCTCCTCTCCCTTCTGTGGTGTGGTTCTCTGCCTTCCTAGCTGCGGTGTGGCGTGTGGTTCTCTCGGCCCCCCCGCGTGGTGTGGTGTAGTTGTGCCCGCGGCCCGGCCCCTGCTGCAGCAGCAGCGACATCAGCGGCATCATCGTCATCATCATCATGATCATCATGCTCACCTTCATCCACATAGTGCGGTGCAGTTTGGTATGCCTCACCATCATGCTAATCATCCTCATCATCCATCATCATCCTGTGCCGACAGTTACTGTAACGGATTTGGAGGCGCCATATGGAAGGAGTGCGCACAGCCACCAGGGATTTGTGCTCATCCGGTTCCTTTCTTGGGTCAACCGTCACGGGAACGGAGCCTGTCACTGAGCCTGTCAGGAACGCGATCCTCGTGACAGTTGCAGTTTTAAATCCTGATCTCGGAGTCGTGGTTGGAAAGTGTGCAGTTGCAGTGTCACAAGGATCGGGTGTGTTTGGGGAGCAATCCTCGTGACAGTTGGCGTTTTCGGAGCCGCGATATGGAAGAAGTGCACAGTCACAGGGATTTGGTCTGTCCGGAACCGGGCCAGGCGAGGTGGGATACCATACGGGGGGCGGGTCGGCGAACCGAGAACCGGGATCACACATGGGGAACGTCGGTGGCCTTCGCAGAACCGGAGTTTGGCTGGGTCCGTGGCTCATGTCGCACTGGACATCAAGAGATGCTGGGTCCAAATCACCACCACCTGACTCATGCACGCAGTCCACATGAGTATCGCAGCATCTACCGTAGCAGCCACACGTGTCGCTTAGCTCACGAGCCAGTCTTGTGGTGCCGAGGTCCCTGCAAGCAGCAGTGTAGAGAAGGTCCTGTCGGCCCAGAAATAGAGGCTTCTTCGCAGGTTGTGCGTACATGTAGTCATGGGCTTGTAGCTGAGCAACACCGTCTTTGGATTTGGCGGGCGGGACCAGACATCATGCGGACAACCAATCCCTTGATGTCGCCCCACATTCAAACGGGAGAGCTCAGTGGGGCATGCAGGTTTCCTTTCAACCGTTGTGGCTGCGACGATGCAACCGAGTCGGAGCCGTTACTCACCGGAAACATGGGCGTGGTCATCACGGCCTTTCGGCTAACGCACATACTAGTAAGGTGTTGGGCATGCGCTGGTGCAAGCTGCATCATCAAAGTTGGATGCACCCGCCCCGCTACACTCTGCTTGCCTGCAAATACCGGAGAGCGCTGGTGGAAGTTTGGTGCAACAAACCATCCCGTTTCCCAGAACATGCAAAGGCTCACGTCTGATCAATGAACGAGAGCGATTCAATCTCGCCTTCCGAACCTTCAACTCATTGAGTACCAAAGCCATGGCACGCATTCTCACGCATCTTAACCTGCCCCTTGGCCACGGAAGCAAGTCACTACAAAACATCCATTCCCTGTTGATGGTCAGTCCGGCAGAGTCAGTGGACTGCCGCTCACTTGTCGGTCCTGCCGTATCACTTGCAGATACTCGCAGGCAGGGAAACGCTGAGAACTTCATGTGCGGAAGACTCACCATCTCGATATGGCCGACTCACAATCTCGATCTGGCCCTAAGGTACACAGCATTCCTTCCCTGCTCGGCAGTGCGGCAATAGCCCAGTCACGCTCATTACGATATTGTTTACAGCTTGACCGTGGTCTGCAGTAGTTGTCTGATTGCTAGTTGCACCGCTCTTGGCACTCTGCATCGCAGTCCTTGCCGGAACCTGTCACAATCGCACAGGGCTTGTCATGACAAGTCGAATGTGAGTCCATCGGCCCAGCGCAGAGAAGAGTGCGGCAGAAGCAAGAGGCTGAGTGCTCACCAGACTTGGAGCCGACACTTCTGCCAAGACCTGGATGGAGTCTGGGGCTACTCTAGGCTCACTAATCTCACTAGATCTATCACTCTTTCAAACTCGGGATGGCCTTCGCCTGAGGTTTCTTGCTGCGAAACTTTGAGCGACCCCTCGTCTGCCAAACTCTGGATGAAAGGCAGCATTGGTCAAATGTTCAAGCCACGTGGTAGATAACCAGCGAATCGCACCGACATGTCTCAAATGTTGCGCGTTCCCCTTGGTGTGTCCAACCTGTAAAGGACAACCATGGCCCAATCGAAAACTGCCCTGGCAGGATGGAATCTTGCAGCTACCTCACTTGCCGCTCGGCAAGTGCTCGGCAGCATTAGGATTATTCTTCTACTTTTCTGACCCATATCACTGGGGCCGAGGCCCACAGCCACGTTTGCACCTTGCCACATCCAGTCGCCAAAAACCGGGACTGGGAAGGAAGAGCTCTATACATCGACTGCTCTTCCGTTGGCAGTGACTCATTACGACGTGCGACCTTGTCACCTGAGATTTGGCCTGCCTGAGGAAAATGAGGTTTTGCGAGGCTCGCAACTAAGCTCCCCGCTGCCTCGCAGGCGCTTGCGACTTCCGGGGGTTTCGGTAGCCTGCGGTGGGGATCGTCGCACATCCATAATTCTCTCGAAGGAGGCTTCGCTCCAGGAGCAACCTACGTGCACGCAGGTATGACTGGTACAGTATGAGAAGTATGTCACAGCAACAGGTTGGAATGCTACAAATTGGCCGACTTGCGCTGGGTAGGATGGGCATACATGTCTATAGTGCTGCCAGCAGACTGCCCTGCCGAGAAACCAACCCCAGCGTACCGCATGCACCCACAAGGGCCAGCGCCGGCCAGTCACTCACAGCTCTGCGATTTTCGATCAGGTCTCTTTCCAGCTGCGCGCTCACATCCGATAGACGGCCTCACATGGATGGTAACAGCAGGGCAGGAAAGAGTGTCAAGGTTCCAACGTTCACTGGTCGAGACAAACTTCGGGATAGTCAAGATGGTCAAGATCCGGAACTTGCCTGAACCGTAGAAACTCAACAAGGAGTTCTCAGCACGCAGCCTGCACATGCCTTTTCTCGGATCCAATCCAAAATCTCTCAAAGCTGAAGACTTAAAGACGTCTTCGCGGAGCCGCGGTTGCTTTTGAGGAGCCCCAGGTCAGCTCCGGCACCCGTTCAAAACGCACGGTGCTGCAACGAACCCCGAGGAAGCTGGCCGGAAGTCCGCACTTCCACCCTCTGCCTTCAGAGCAGCGCTTCGGCGAAATGCGCCGCGGAAAAGGCCTGCTGCAGCCGCACAGTCCTTATCGCTGAGAAGGCAGGTCGAGAAACAGGGTTTAGGCAAGACCCCAACTTGCCTCACCCCAGTCAGCTCAAACGCAAACATCTGAGCGAACGCAGCAGGAGCAAAAAGTGGGGCCTTGGGTTCCCCACATCCTAATTTCTGGGCGTGTGCAAACAACCGGTCAGACTGACTGTCAGAACAAGACACGCCTTTCTCGGCGAGCAGCTGCGCCTCCTCCCAGGTTTATCTACTTTCATTTTCTGGACTGCAGGTGCTGTGCGGTGCTGCATTCGGGACGGCTGCAACGGGTGCCTGGTACATTTGGAAGGCCTCGACATCTTCCGGCGCAGTACAAATTTCTGGATGACGACCTTGCAGTCCGCGCATCTACGGGAAGAGTGCATGCAGGATCTGCGGGCCTCACACATGCTTTGATTTCCACACTAAGGCCGGGACGATACAGAACATCAGTGCGGATGATGTACTTCTCCGCCGCCGGGATGCCTGGTGACAGTAGTAGACGCTTCTGAATGCCTCGAGTTTGACATGACATGAGCATTTCCAAACAAACTGCATCAACAAGCTCCGTGCCTTCATGCATCAAGCGATGGTAGAACACCAGCATCCTCTGAAGCATTGGCATCAGAGTAGCCCACGAATTCAGCGAGAAGATGCAAGAAGCTTTATGTTTCAGCAGCGGACTTCATGAAGGCCCAAGCAGCGTTGAAAAGTTATCGAGAGAGTGCGACGAGCGAATCCTCTAGAGAAGCGCAGCACAAAGCTAACCGCATCGGACAGTCCTCCCTGATTTCGGAGCAACTTCGGCCAGGACCAGATCTCTGTCGCCTAAAACTGCCAACTGTTCCACGCTTGCGAGTTTGACAAGGATTTAATTCAGTCGTGTTACGAACACAAGGAGCCAATGTCTCTGAGCATGCCAAGTCTCCGGTCAGCCGGCCAGCATCATCCATCTGCAGTTCTCTCTGCATTTGTTCGTCTGCATACAGGCGTGTGTGCCCACCTTGCTTCAAGAACTAAATGGATGGCAACATTCCAATACATCCCACAGCCGCAAGAAGGGCCCACCGGTCATCCAAAGCAACCGCGTCGTTGCGTGCCAGTGCTGACTGCCGCAAGATGCCCTACTGAGCTTGGCTCTGTAAGGCTGCGGCCCCATGGGGATGGATTGAGGAAAAGCACACAGCCTTAGCTGTCTCAACATAACTCGACCACCCTACCTTCTACACAGCTGCTTTTGACAATCATCACAGTGCAAGAACATGTTTGGGCAATACCCCGGCCAGGTCCACCTCGATTCAGCCTGCTACCATCTCCATTTCAAAGGCATGTCTCTGCTTGCCAGCAAGAGGCTATAGAAGGTACGGCGATTGAAGTCGACTACCGTGGTTCCATCCTCAGTCGTGTGCTGTATGCCTGCTCTACGCGGGGACGCTATCTCAGACACACAATCGAGCACTTAATCAATTAGGCTTCATAAACTCTGAATCCCTGAGGAAGCTTTTGACGAGTTATGCATGCCTTGCCATTGCTCTCGGCCCAGCTACAGGGAAGAGCGCTCACAGCAAAGAACACTAGGCTCTCGCTGGCCCGGGACCAAACCATGGGAGCAGCAAACTTACAACAGGGAGTGAAGCCTTGGCACTATTCCTCTCTTGAATGCTCTACCCGTTTGTGAATTTGAGAGAACAACTTAGCAGACTCAGCAGTTCGAGGAGCACGCGAGAAATTAGATACTCGCTTTCACATCTGCCTGTTTATGTGTCTAGTCAAGTCTGGCTCCATACTTGCAAGCTTTCAGGCACCGTTTGGGGATGTTTGTCCCTGGGTGCCCCCAAGCCTCAACATCCAATTATGTGTATCTCACGTGACATGTTGCCAGCGCTATGACCGGCTATCGCCTGCAAGCGGTTTCTAACCACGAAGAAGCAGAAATCCCATAAGCCCCTGTCCGTGTGGGGACTGAAGTGTCCGCCATCCAGATAGCGCGAGAGCAACAACTTCGGATTCCTCAGTGTCCCGACAGATGGCCCGGAAAAGGCATGTGCCGTGTATCAGAACTCACTTCTCTTTCTCTCTCTCTCTCACACGGACTCAGTCACCTGAACTCACCTATTCCAATCATTCATAGACTTTGAATGCAGAGCCAGCCGGGTCTCATCGCATATGGGCACCACGTGCCTTCGATGTCGACTTCGAAGCGTGGATCGTCTGGACCAAGCTCAACCTCATGAGCTTCGAATCGGACCCTATCTTTGCACCGGGCTCCCATGAACCGCTAGCCTGGTAGCACCTTGAAAAGCACCCTGCTCTGGGAATTGAATTCTTCATTTGCACAGTATCACCATGTAGCACTTAATCTCGGCCGAAAAGCCTTAGGCTGGACATGGGCAGCCACTCTTCGCCAGATTCGATCTGCCAAGGCCTGATGCGTCACCTGCGGTGCTTGGGCTTGGAGGCGGGGGAGTGCAGCTCACGGCGTCTGTGTGGCAGACTGCAGTTTGCCTCTCTTCCAGTCCTTGAGGAACTCTCATTCTGAAAGCTGCCCTCGAGGCCTCCACCGTGTGCGCGTTGCGGAAGGAGATGCGTGGCCTCGCCGGATCGTCCTCCTTGGGGCTTTCAGCCCAAAACATGAAGCGGGCCATTCCAATGAGCAAGATCTGAATTTCGTATATACATTCGAGCGAACAGTTTTTCGTTGTAGCATGTGCAACTCCAACGTTTGATATCCTTTTGAGCCTCTCCCGGCAATCTTTTCTTGTAAACACTAACGAGCTGATCTGCTCAAGAAATGCACCACAAATATGCTGCAAGCTCTAAACGTTGCGCATCTATCCCAAGCTTCGGATTAAGGCCTCGAGCAAAAGTCCCTCGGCTTCGTCCAAGTGACCCAGAATGTCCAGAGTCCCTCAGCGCTGCTGCGCAGGGCATGGCACTCCGTCTCGCTGAGGACACCATCCAGGACGAAAGCATCACAGCCTGTGTGCAAAGGCTGCTTTTAAGGTGGTGGACAGGCTTTTGCTGTTGAAATTGCCATCCTGAAAACCTTTCATGCACCGTTCTCCATGATAGAGCCTGTCGGGGAATCGCCCTTTCAACGAGCGCTTTGCTCACCACTTCTGCTCTGGAGCAATTCCGGAGATTTAAGACGGCTTCTTTTGAAGCATCGTCTCCCGTATGGTTTCATGCCCACTACGGGTAGACTGGCAAGACATATCGAAGACTCACCGGAAGATGTTCTGTTCTCGCAAATTTTTTGCCTCCTACTTAGCAAGGACAAGCCCGCATTGCAGGGTACATTGACGTCTGAGAGATTGCACATCAAGCCAGATTTCAGCCCGATAAATTAGGCAGAAGGGCTTCGTACAGACCTGCCACGGCAGTCCCGATCAGACCATATTGGCCAGATCGCAGTGTGTTTATCATCACTGAGACAGCATGTTATCAAGAGTCAGCCTACACCTGCGCCACTCACAAGACACAGTAGTCGCATCCCGACATAGCTCTTTCAGACAGGGCGTTTTTTTGAGCATAGGGAAAAAAAACTCCGCCAAGACCAAGGTTCCTAGACACCACACGCTCGTGAGGCCGCATGCTCGTCCAGTCCAGTCTTAGCAAAGTCTGCTCCAGACCATTTTACCAAACCATCCAAACAGAATTCAAGCATGACTCACATCTAGTCTTCTCAAAGTCTGGTCCAGACCATTCAATAAAACCATCCAGAACTGAAAGCCCAGCACCGCCATAGCTTGCGCCCATCTGGTTGCCAGCACAACACCAGTCACAACACCAAATTCCAAATTGGCACCTGCAGGCCCTAAGGCAAATTCTGAATTATGAATTCATTCTGAGGCTGTCTCCGTCTCGAGGCTCCGGTAGGTGTTAGCCAGGCTGTATGTCCCAGCTCCACTGTCAGGCATAATTCCAGGCCATATAGATAATAGGCACAGGAGTAAATGCAGAAAACCATCTCATCCCAGGCTTTATGTCCCAGCACATTGCCAAGCAGCAGATTCCAGGCCATATAGAGGAAGAGCACGAGTCTATCTCGCCCGACAGAAAGCACCAAAAAACGGGCAGCACACTGCCATAGTAACAGGTTGTCAGACGATCGACATCACGTGCAGTTCAAGTCAGAGGTCACAGAGCCATGGCGCTTTGTTTCTCCGAAGATAAAAAGCTCATCCCGCGAAGCAACTGAAGACATTGTTAACATAGACCCCATGGTTTATGGACACACTGGTTCATAGGGCCCTGAAAACTTAAGCAGTAGCAGCGGGCAGTTAATGTGACGGTGACGACGAGTGGAGTGGGGGAAGCAAGTGTCCCGGGGCGTTGGTCGTGAGCGGCCGGCATCTTTGTTTGTTTTTTGTGGGTTTTTGAGGCACGAAGGTGAAACGACCACGCTCGTGGGATGGGGCAGTTCTCTTTCGCTCTTTCACTCTCGTTCCGTTCGCTTTTCACTCTTTTCAAGAACTCTGGGGCTGAGGACCGTATTACAGGATATAGGGTGTATTGCACACACTGAGTTTCCGATTTTGGGGCCCAACCAAATGCAAATCAATTACGAATTAAGATGCTTGAATTAGTTGCTGGAATTAATGAACCTGATGAAAGCAGGCATGAATTTGGACAGCCAAAAGAATTCATTCGCGGCGCTGTAAAATGAACCGGAGGAAAGCAGGAATGATAATGGCATACCACGGCATGATCCTGATGAAAGCAGGAATGATAATGACATACCACGGCATGATCCTGATGAAAGCAGGGATGATAATGCATCGAATTAGGCTGGGTTCTTGGTAGGGCTATTTCAGCTGTCATCGTCTTCATCAGGGATTTCGACAGGTGAGCTGGTATTTTTGAGAACGTCGTGTATGGGTGGATGTTGGGGCATGTAAGGTCGTGAATGCTACCGAGACTACCCGTGACATGCCTGTCCAAGGCATTGTAGCATGTACTGTGCTTCTAGCATCAAACAGTGTGGGTACAGACTTAATGTCATGAACGTGACCAGCCAACAGAGCACCATTGTGAGGTAGTTTAGTAGATCCCGGAGGGTGAGCAATCCAGAGTTGTCCTCCCTCGTATTCTGAAATCCCACAAATGTAGCTTTGACCAGGCCCATTACGGGTGTCTCGATGCGGCTTAGTTTCCATATTTGCACGAATGGAGAAAGTGCTGTATTCAAAAGGAGCTTCAGGAACTGCGCGCGCTCTCCTTTTTGGTCAGTAACTTGCAATCTGTGGTAGGCTCGCCTACGGGGACTCTGTGCCAGTGTAATTAAGCCTGTCCGGGCATCGCAAGGGACAACGGCATGGCAGGATAGAACAAATTAAAGATTTCGCGAATTAGGATGCGAAAATTATAAATTACTTTTACGAATTATGAATTCCAAATTACAGTTTGGGGTGCAAGCAGTAGAATTAAGTGCAGATTATTAGTTGCCAGCCGAATTCAAGAATTAAGTATGCAATGTTTGGCATGCATGCAAATGAATTGGTCCCGTTGGCGATTGAGTATGATACAGTCGATCCGGTTCTCAAAACTGGGACCCTTACCAGTCCTACTGTCGGAGAGCCGGTGTAGAGTGTGTGCATTGTCCTCAGCTTTCGGCCTGACTAGTCCAATGTTCTAAGCTTTCAGCTTGTCAGAGAATGAATCACCGAAGTATTATTGCTGAGGACAAAGAAGGGCTCCGAGCTCGCTATTCAAAAAGACCCTCCCCTGCTCAACAAAATCTGAAGCAGATCACGAGTACTCATTTGATGAAGGGGGTCCCTGACCATATAGATGTCTCCCCTATCTCGCATCATAGTCTGCACAGCTGGCACAGCTGCTTGGAGATGCTCGGATATGCGAATCGGTTGCGGGTCCACTGCAGGCAGGGTGGTCCGTGGGGTAGTCGAGGAAGAAGCGCTTGGAGCTTGCTGCGGTTGTGGTTGTTCTGTCGGGGGTGTCCTTTTTGGAAGTTTTGGCGTTCGCTCCATGATGGTCTGCACATGCTCCATCATGATCTGCAAAGCCTCTCGGATCTGCTGAGAGATGTCCGCATGGTCGTTGGCCTGGTCAGTCAAGCCTGTGCAGAGGCTTTCCACCCTGACGATGCGGTCCTCGCAGTTCGTGGCACTCTCCATGGTCGTCTTTACCATGTTCAGCTCGGCCTCGTTGTGCTGGTGATTTCTGCTCAAGTAATCCAACATGTCTCTGTTGGCATCATGTAGGTGCTTCGACTGTGGAACAAGTACGTTGAGGCCTCTGAAATTGGCGTTCGTTTGTCCATGGAAGGTTTTGAGGTCGGTGTGGATGTTGTCGGAGCGTTGTTTGAGCTCAGTGCGGGCCACGTGTAGATCTGTATCATGCTTCTTCGTCAGGTTCTTGACATCCTCCATGGCGGCTTGTAGAGTAGCAAGCCGTTCGTGGGTCGCTTTATGGTCGGACTGCAAAAGCTGCAAGTTTTCTCTCGCTTGCTTAAGCAACCCGTCGAGCAGTGTCTCGTGCAAGGAGAATTGCCTTGTGCCTCAAGCCCTGAGGCTGCGCAAGTCTTGGAGAGGGCCGGGATGCCAGCAGCGAGTCCTTGTATGTCTTTCACCAAAGTCTTCAGGTCCTTCGTCGAGGCTTGGACCTGATCAACTTTGTTTGTCATGCTCTGAAAGTCCGACTGGAGTGCTGACAGGTGACTCAAGTCAGATCCCTGAACTTCCTTTTGTACATCAGAGATAGCCATCTTGAGGACCTTGGTTTCATGGCCAAGATCAAGGAGCTTGGCGTCGACGCATAGTAGAGTCTGGTTGAGATCATCCGGGATCGGTGTAGGTTCTGATGCTGTGCGAGTACTCACTGCATCAAAACGCTGGCTCATCATGTCAACTTGGCCTGTGACCTTGTCCAGGCTGTGTTGCAGTGCTTGCAGGTGGGTCTGCACTCCCTGAGCAAGCATGGAAACCTGAGTAGACTGACTCCAAACGATCTTCACCACTGCGAGCATAAGGAGGGAGGATACCGCGAGAGCTACTGCGAGCAGAGGTTTCCAATCTCCTTTGAGTAGCCACACCCCTAGGTCGATCGCATCACCCAGGACCTCTGTGGGCAGCTCCTGGCTCACGGTGAAGACAGTCTCTGCGTATTCGGTCATGGCTTAAGTGGCACTGAGGAAGTGGCTAAAGCTCGAGCCTGATGTTACTGAAGATTAACTGGTCGTCCTGCCCCCCCCCCCCGAGAAGTAGTAAAGGATTTACAACCATTCATGAAAGTTGGGGAGACACTGATGGGGCAGTGTGAGGAATACATGAGAGAAGTCAGCTTTACGGTAGATTGTTCGGGCGTGGGCGAAGAGGAGAGCAGCCTTAGCGCATCTATCAGTGAGTGTATTCAGGGGGTGTCCTGAATGGCCCTTGACATGCTGTTTAGTGACACGATGTTGAATCTGTCTCCAAAGACTAAGGAGTTGATGGATGTCATGGGGATGACAGCTAAAGTTGCATTGTTCATCGAGTACCTGTAGTACGAAGGACGAGTCGGTCATATAAACAATGCGCATATCTCCTAATAAAGGTAGTGCAGCTCGGATCATCGTCAGAGCTTGCACGGCAGCTCTAAGTTCGGCTTTGGTAGAAGTGCACTCGCCATCTATCTTTTTTTGGGCGATAACGGCTTGTTCGATAGGGGCGTAGGGCCCAAGGAAGCAGACAGCGAGGGCTCCAAGTTTATTTTTGTGACTTCCATCCGAAACAACCTGTACACAAGACTCGTTATCATGGGCAGTAGGGCTAGGGACAAAGGTATACGAGGAAGAATAGGCTTCTTCGACCGGTACATGACGGAAAGGTAGGAGGGTAAATTTTTCCCCTACTTGGAGGAGGCTTCTACCATGTAAGTCAACCCGTTCGAGATCAGGGTAGTATTTAAGGGGTTGGAGGTTACAGTGATCCAGCCAGACATTAATAAATTGTCTCCAGTTATCCCTATGTGTGGCGGCA